GGCATAATATTGTTTCTTATTGTCTTGACTACACTTTTTTTTTTTATTACATTCAGAATATATTAAAAATTCCATTTACAAGACAATTGTTTATAATAAAATTGGAAAATTCTATTCAATCGATAGACTCATAACGATTGAAAACAATGTTTTTGTTTGAGTTTGGGTTTGACCAATTCGTCAAAAAACAAAACAAAAAAAAATTAATACATGCATGTCCGTCAATCTTAAACAATAATTTTTGTCAATTTTATTTTTCAGCCTTTATGATGGTCGATACTTGATCTATCTATTACTGTTACATCCCCGGGCAACGCCGGGCTCTACTGCTAGTGTATAATAAAGACTATTATTACTCTTAAATTAAATCCACTATGATTTTTAATGTTGCGGGTTTATTAATTAGAAAATTACATAAATGAAATAATCAACAAAATATTTATTTATAATGTTTTAAACAATTGCAAATCTTCACTTTATTAACTATTTGCGAAAAGTGAATGTTTGAAAATGAAGGATTTCGCTACATATAATTAAGTCTAAAGGTTATGTCAACAAATCGACAAGATATTCAAAATCAGATGTCAAATTTTAAATGAATAACTCAAAAGAAAATTGCTATTTCCTATTGTCATTGAATTTCTATCAAATACACGATTTCGTAATTACAACTGAAGAAATATTATTTTCATCTCATATATAAATTTTTCTGTCATAAATGATTTACTTCTTCATAAAAATAATATTTTTAATGGAAGGAAGAAAATATGATCTGTTAAATTCAATTCACTAATGATCCGCTGGGGATTGAAGTAAAAAATCGAAATACTAATATAAAATATTAAATTTAATATATATATATATATATATATATATATATATATATATATATATATATATATATATATATATATATATTTATATATATATATATCCTTTATGCATGTTTCATTAAAAACGACAGACAAGGTACTACAGTTGAGCTTTTTTATTTAATTTTTCTTGTGTTCTGACAAGAGCTTTCTTTCTGGACAAAGAGTGTGTAAGAACTGTCCGAATGTTCTGTATTTCCGAGCGCTTTCGGCTATACCTTTAGCCATTATCAAGGATGATTCAATTATCAGCTTAGTTGAGTGTGTGTGTTCTGTGTATGTTCAGTGTGTGGTAGTGATGTTTTTAGTTTCCGAATACAGTTAGCACATTGTGGCTTTGTTCATAGTTATATTGTTAAGAGTTGGCTTTTTTTTTTTTTATTATTAGAGCTTCCATTTTTTTTAGTCTTTTTTTGCAAGTGGATGCAGTTAATATATGAGTGTTTTCTACTAGTATGTTCCTAATAGTGTCGGGTAAATCTGAGTGTGTGTTTAAATGTGTTCTGATGGAACTGTGATCAGATAGGTGTAATGAACATACATAGAACACACACTCTACTAAATAATTGAATCATCCTTGATAATGGCTAAAGGTATAGCCGAAAAGCGCTCGGAAACACAGAACATTCGGACAGTTCTTACACAAACTCCAGAAAAGAAAGCTCTTGTCAGAACACAAGAAAAAATTAAATAAAAGCTCAACTGTAGTACCTTGTCTGTCGTTTAATGAAACATGCATATATATATATATATATATATATATATATATATATATATATATATATATATATATATTATTATTGTGTATATATATATATATATATATATATATATATTTTATATATACACAATATATATATATATATATTGTGTGTATATGTATATTTTGTTTTTTATATATATATATATATATATATATATATATATATTCTGTCTGTCTGTTTTTATATATATATATATATAAAAATACACATTTATATATATATATATATATATATATATATATATATATATATTATTGTGTATATGTATATTGTGTGTATTCATATATATATATATATATATTTCCTATATATATATATATATATATATATATATATATATATATATATATATATATATATATATTTATATATATATATATATATATATATATTGTTATAAGTCATATATATAGTTAAATTCCCAGATCAATTCTGTGGTCAAGACAGATTAGTATAAAATGACAATTGGAAAAAAAAAATCTTAGATTTTGCCGACGCGTTTCGTCTTCCGACTTTCGATTTGATTTTTGCCTTGAAAATGTCGGAAGACGAAATGTGTCGGCAAAATCTAAGATTTTTTTTTTCCAATTGTCAATTTATACATATATATATATATATATATATATATATATATATATATATATATATATATTCCAAGATCATTTTCCAACTTATTCATATGCCAAACATCTTATGGATTGAGTTATATCTCTTCCAATTGATCTCTTTAAATCTAAGTTGAAATGATGATCTCTTTTGCTGTTGTGACCTCCTGATTCAGTTTTCTTCACTACTCTTCCCTCTTTTTTTTTAACTTAGTTTCCATTTTCTTGCTGGTTCTTGGATTATCAATAGTGGGCACATTACTGATGGCCTGAATGATCCTTTTCCTCTCACCATTGCTCAGTTGATAAGACAATGGGTGTTATACAAAATGATTTTAACTTATACTCTTTCTAGCTGTTTTCTTGCTGGATCTTGAATGGAAGCCAGAGTATTAATTGTGGCCACATTCCTGATGGCCGGAATGATCCTTTTCCTCTCACCATTGCTCAGTTTAGAAGTCTGTGAGGGTTACATAAAATGATTTTAACTTGTACTCTTTCTAGCTGAATAACTCAAAGGGTTTATCAGTGATTCTTACTATAAATGATGTCAAGATGACGAAACGTCTTATCTGAAAACCCGGAAAAAAGAAACTTAATTAGTTTACTAGTTTTTTTGTTTTTTTTTCTAAATATTAAATATTTTGTGGGATACACAATTACCCTGTAACACGATTTGGGTAATTTTGTTGTTACACCCGGTAAATCGATCTGAGTAACGAACAGGAAATTCTGAAATAAACCCTTAATTTATTCCACGGAATGTTCTCATTCCACTTTTCAAATTTTTATTGAGTTTGTTCAGTTATTGTTCGCTGACTGCCCGACCCAGGGATTGAACTTACACAAAATTCTCAAATCAAAGTTTTAATCCACTAGTCCAGCGAGATGCATAGTGATGTCCGTTTTACTTTAAAGGAGATATTTTGCCTACTTCCGCTTTGATACCTGTCCTCTGCATCGCCATGATAAATGCTTTACGTGATACTCAGAGTCTTAAAAAAATCTTGGCAAAGATTTTTTTTCTCTTTTCTTCCTTTTTAACGTCGTATCAATTTGTTTGCTGTCCTCTTATTCCGTGTCTTCAATTCATTTATTATTTTTTTGTTTCCTCCATCGATTTCTTCTTCATTTCATTCTCATCTTCTTCCTAATTTCTCATCTGTCTTATTATACTCCCATCTTTCTCCTGACATGATTATCGTTGCTACAATTTCATTTCACAATCCACTTCAATTTATTTCTGTTTCGAAATATATTTTATCTTCTCATGGCGTCATATTTCCATTCGCTTTTCGATTTGATTTGATCATGTTTTCTTTTTTCTTTATTTTTGCTTATATTTGTTTGGCGGGGTGGAGACAGGGAAAGAAGGAGGTTGTTTTGGCCCAGCCAATTTTTTCTTCTTTATTTTTCTAAGCCTTATTTTTATACCGCGTTTCCGACAACTTATGAATATTTACGGGCCGTTCGCTCTACCCCCCTCCCCAATAATGAATAATTTTCCTGACTTTATGGCCAACAGAGAGACATGATTTTCTTGGCTGCTAGTGTCGCCTCAACGATATATTCGAGAAAAAAAATGCAATCAGAGATTGAACACGATAATAAATACATTAAGAAATGTTTTTGCTCTAACATGTGAACGAGAATCGAGAAAAGCAATTCTTCATGAATTTGTGTATATCCTATATACTCGTGTATTGGTCGACATTGTATCCAGGATATGACGATAAACTACGTCCGCGTCCTAGGTAAGACGATAAACTACGTCCGCGTCCTGGGTAAAACTATAAACTACATTCGCGTCCTGGGTAAGACGATAAACTATGTCCGCGTCCTGGGTAAAACTATAAACTACATCCGCGTCCTGGGTAAAACTATAAACTACGTCCGCATCCTGGGTAAGACGATAAACTACGTCCGCGTCCTGGGTAAAACTATAAACTACATCCGCTTCCTGGGTAAGACGATAAACTACGTCTGCGTCCTGGGTAAAACTATAAACTACATCCGCTTCCTGGGTAAGACGATAAACTACGTCCGCGTCCTGGGTAAAACTATAAACTACATCCGCTTCCTGGGTAAGACGATAAACTACATCCGACAGCAAGGCCTCTGTTCAGGAGGTTTTGAGGAGAGTTGAGCCACCTCTTAATTGCTGATGTTCCCAGGTCAACCCTGACTTGATGAGGTGGTAGCACCTGTTAGGGTCCCAGCTATGGGCAAATAATTGACCCCAAAACTGGGCTCAAAATACTATGATACTGTAAAAATAGGTTTTAGTATCAGTAATACATTTTTGTAAAAAATTATTACCAACAATGAATTTTTGAAGGAAAAAATTATTACCAGCAATAAAACTCTCGTTGGCATTAAATAACACATTGAGGTTGATATACCATAAAACAAAACGAACCCAACAAAAAAGAAAAGAAAAAAAAAGCTGCTTAGATAAGATGCTCAGAGCAAATACCGGGCATCTTTACATCATTCACAGTCAGTCCTCATCTATGTTGTTAATATCTAAACGTTTCGAACTTCTTCAGATCCCCCTCTCTATATATTTTCTCACTCTATCCCTCTCTCTGTCTTTCTGTCTGTCTCTCTCTCTTTCGCTCTGTCTCTCTCTTTCTCTGTCTCTCTCTCCCTCCCTCTCTGTATGTTTCTCTCTCTTTCTCTCTCTCTTTCTCTCGTTCTCTGTCTCGCTCTCTCTCTATCGCTGTCTGTATCTCTGCCTCTCTCTGTGTCCCTCTCTCAACAGGTCCCGTATGATCCCCGAAGTTAAGCAACGTCGAACCTGGTCAGTACCTAGATGGGTGACTCCTTGGGAATATCTTTAAGCTCGGATGTGTGGGTGGGGAAATGGACAACGGTTCTAAATCGGAAATCAGCTCTCCGATTTCCTATTCCAGTGCCTTTGTTATATTCACTCACGCACAAATGAATCCACCTCTTCTCCCTCTAGCAATGGGTTAATGAGTATGACTTGTATCAGTAAATCATTATTATTTCCAAAACCTTCTCAAAATCTAAAAATATTTTCTGGCATTAAATAACCTACAGTAGGAAAACAAATGAATCAATCCGATGTCTCTAGTTACGCGAAACGTTCGGGGAATTTCAAACTGAATTCTTTATTCAATCAACGGGGATATATTGTTCTTGGTCCGCTGGGACAGGTAACAGAGACTCAAGCACAGAGAAAAACTGCGGAAGATACTACAAAGATAACTAGAATGGACATTGGAATAAGAACAATGAGCAGGTAGCGATATGACATAAAGAATCAGTAAAATATTCAGAGGGGTGCGTTTCTGAACAAAGGTCAAAGGTTACACGAAACAGATGAGCAATATGTTAACAATAGACGACATTACCTTCTAAAAAATGCTGAAATCAAAACGAAGAACTTCCTGGCCAATCAAAACGAAGAACCACCTGGCCAATCAAAACGAAGAACCTCCTGGCCAATCAAAAAGAAGAACCTTCTGGCCAATCAAAACGAAGAACTTTCTGGCCAGTCAAAACGAAGAATCTCCTGGCCAATCAAAACCTAAATATGGACATCCATTATAATAAGGTTTAAGTAATAAATTAAAATATGTCGGATTAATAAATGAAAATGCTAAAATTTGTCTTTGCTTACCTTCTGATATAAAACTGAGCAGAGATGAATATTTCGAGAATTCGGGAAAGGTCTGTGTTCGGAGGCGTTATTTGCTTGGCCGAGAGGTCAGAGCACGTCAGATTTAATGGTAGTTTCCCAAAGGAGAACAAAGATTTGAATTATACTGAAGAACTCAAATTTTTCTTATATGATTTCTCAAATATTCACACCGGTAGAGGGAAATAAATAAATATACTGTTAACAAAATAAATAAAATAGAATATATATATATATATATATATATATATATATATATATATATATATATATATATATATATATATATATATATATATATATATATATATATATATATATATATATATATATGTATATATATATATGAATGTATATATATATATATATATATATATATATATATATATATATATATATATATATATATATATATATATATATATATATATATGTATATATATATATATGTATGTATATATGTATATGTATATATATATATATATATATATATATATATATGTATGTATATATATGTATATATATATATATATATATATATATATATAGATATATGCATATATATGTATATGTATATGCATGTATATAGTATGTATATATATATGCATGTATATAGTATGTATATATATATATATGTAAGCATATATATATATGTGTGTGTGTGTGTGTGTGTGTGTGTGTGTGTGTGTGTGTGTGTGTGTGTGTGTGTGCGTGCGTGCAGATAAGTAGAAAAATAGGAAAGAACACATTAGGTAAATAATCCGGAGTTCTTTAGTATATTTATTTTTAAAAAAACAGTGCTCCATACAGAAGTAGAGCTTAAATTATAATTATTTTTTAAATGATTCCTTCGCTACATAAGAGTTCTCATGTTTCAAAAACGAGAGCCGAAACCCTCAATATAATTATTAAAATTAAAAAAATTATTAAAGTTAAAGTATCAAGACCTGTTTCATCCTCAAGCGAAAATTTAAGAAATAAACAAAATTTAATTAATTTAATTTATGCATCTTTAAAATCATTTTCAATTTCCTTCGTTTGTCATTAGCAAAGAATGAGTTTCACTCGGAAACCATCTTCCTAAGAACTTCTCATTCGTGAAAAATATTTTCCCAATCACTACAATCTGGACCTCTTCCCCTCCATGGGTAAACCGTTAACTTTCTTGTATAACATTATCGACTTCACATCATGCCTTACGCTTATACAGCACTACACTGTAACTCTCTATTTTGAGTGGCTCATGGGAATATTTCTGGAGAACATTAGTGTAAAAATATTCTTAAGCATAATCTGAGGATGCTGGTAATACGAATATTAATCTACCTTGAGTGGCACTTGGGCCTTGAATTGGGAGAACATTAGTAACCAGACTGCAGGAAGATTTTTATTTATTTATTGTTGTATATGGCGAACGATTTTTTTTCCTCCGTATCAGTTCGAATCCTCGTCGTCAAGTGTTGTAGAGTAGTTTCACAGTGGAGGCTTGTATTTCACTAAGTCGGTCCTAAAATAGGTTCGACGTACAAAACGTTAGGAATTGATATAATAGGTAATGACGCATAGAAATCTAGTGGTGGTCGCTGATACTTTAATATCCGGCATCGACTGACTGACCAACGATATTCAGTCCCCCCCCCACGAGGACGTCAGGTGGCACAAGGCCTTTTTAACGTGGGATCTTCGGCCAAAAATATGCCCAAAAATAACCCGAGAAATTTGTTTAGGGTCAACATACCTCCCCTCCCCGAAGAGAATCCGCCATTCGGCGTAGCCCCTTTTTGATTTAAATCCCCGCCTAAAGGCAGAGAGTTCAACCGATCAGCCAGTCGACTGACTGACCAACTCACTGAGCGACTCCTACTACTCCTACTTATTATAGGTGGGACAGTCTATTAACTATAGAATGGGAGTGTTCCACTATAACATTTATGTACACTATTTACATGTAGATTATTATACTCATCTTTTTTATGTTGTTATCACAACAACGTTTCGGCTGTTGTACCCTCTTCTAAGGGTTAAGCAGTAGAAAATGTATGAATCAATCAACTCTTTCATTTCACCAACCCTGACTATTTCAACTAGAATCCTTCCTGCCACGTACATATTTGGACTAGTGTTGTCTAGTCCTCATTTGCCAGTCTTCCTAGAGTTCAAAACCGCATACACGGACTTGTGGGTGATGAATTACTATACACCCTGTCACCCATTTCCAACAGATGTAACTCAATCGTCATTTTCATATCCTCTGTTCTGACGCGCTAAATTCCCTGTTTCCATTAACTTTACTTTTAAACTGTACAAAAATACATTATTTACATTATTCGGACTATTGTCCTCATTTTTTTCTTTATTTATCACAACGTTTCGGCCGTTGTAATTTTAAAACGGCCTTCTTCAGGTGCCCTCAAGGACACATGGCACAGTGGATAAAAATCGTTGGTTAGATCTTTCTTGACAGGACCCAAAGTAGTTGTTTGTTAAACCCAGTTAAGGCATTTTGGAGAACTTTCAGAGGGGAATTAGCCATTTTATAACTGATAACTTTTATTCGCCCATCAAACATGGCACGTTGAACTTTTTTTCTACCCCAGTGAGGGAAATAAAAAAATTCAGTTCGAAATTCCAAAACCTGAAGAAGGCCGGAGCGTACAACGGCCGAAACGTTGTAATAAAATATGGCGACAAAAATGAGGACAATAGTCCGAATAATGTTGAATAATGTACATAATACCTTTTATCAGAAATACAGACAGACTCTGTACAAAAATAATTTAATGTTTAAAATAAAAATACAAATTACTCATAAAAGGAATAAATTTTATCAATTAATAATTCTTATAAATAACAATATCAAAGAAAAAATATTAAAATAACTTTGGGACCTTTGCATAAATAAATTTCACAGTCAAAACAGAAGCATGTAAAAAGTCTTCGGAAAAAGCTCAACGTGTGGAAGTAGCGAAGTGCGTTTGATTTGGGGGGTGGGGGACCGTCCTTAATATAGATTAATTGAAAAATGTTAATTAAGAGACTTACATTTTCTTATGACAAGAAAAGCAGGATTCCTAAATACCATTTTTGCGTAGTTACTTACAAAGCCATAAGTCTGGTTATACAATCTACATAAAAATAATATAACAATAAATTAAAAATAATGTAATAACTCAAAATAGATAAATACTTATACTTAATAAAATAAAATAATTAAAATAAATCTCATACTTACTTCAATTAAATAAGGTAAGTGATATTCCAAATATAAGGAATTCTTTAAATTTCTTAAGCCAACAACACTGCTGGAGTTGCTAGCTCAAATTCAAACTGAAACTAAAATGTCTCGCTGCTCTCATCGACCTCCAGTTCTGTCCCTGCACTACATTATGACTTGGCCGTCTAATATAGAACGCCATGATTTGACACCTTATACGGTGTTATTTCTTATACTTATATTGTTTATACCGTGGTTGTTTCGGTGATTTAATATTGGACCGTCCTGGGTATGACGTTAAACCACATCCGCGTCCCAGGTAAGACGATAAACTAAATCCGACAATAAGGCCTCTGATCAAAAAAGGTTTTTTTGAAAAAAAAAGAACCACCTGTTAAAAAGCTGGTGTTTAAGGTCCACCCTGACCCGGGTGGTATTAGTTAGGGTCTTGAGCTATGTTCAAATAGTTAACACCATCTGTACATCCGCGTCCTTTAATATGAAGATAAATTATATTCAAATTCCTGGGTAAAAGACGATAAACTATGTCCAAAAAAAAAAAATATGATAATACGTTCTTGAAAAAATTTATGTTGCCAGCTGTACGTTTTTATTTTTAATATTACCAGCTTTACATTTTGAAAAAAAGAATATTAAAATCATAAAATATATTTAAAATATATTAAATTAAAAGTAATTCGTTTTTAAAAAAATATTTAAAAAATTTAAAATTTAAAAAATAATATTATTAGCTATATGTTTTTGAAAAAAATAATATTGCCAAACTTACATTTTTTGAAAAATAAAATTACTCCTATTCGTTTTTGAAAAAAAATTAAAGATATATGTTTTCGAAAAAAATATAAGAAATACTAAATTTATACGTTTTTAAAAAGATTATTACCAAGCTGTGAATTTTGAGGAAAAAAATTTAACAGAAATGATTTTGACAAACGA